AATAAAGGCTTTGAATCCCTCTTGATCCCTGAGAGGGAGAATAGATAAAGAAATAGTGGGAAAACAATTGCAGTTATTATCCTGCACTCTGGTTCCTCTGTGCTGATACAGCAGAGTACAGCAGATCCTAATTGCGCATCCTCTAACATCCAGAAATCTCATTAGAAAGGAATTAAAGGATACTGGACCTATGTCTGGGATTTCTGGAAATGCAGCAGCTCTGTTCAGGTGGCTGGGTGTCCAAGAATGCCAAGCACACCCTCTGTGCACACACCGGCCTTGCAGCACGCACATGGGCTGTCCATGTCAGATGGAAAATGTGAGCATAGAGTTGGTGAAGGGTCTGGAGCACAAGTCTGATAAGGAGTGGCTGAGAGAGCTGGGGATGTTGAGCCTCAAGAAAAAGGAGGCTCAGGGGAACCTCAGTGGTCTCTAAATCCACCTGGAAGAAGATGATAGCCAGGTGGAGGTTGGTCTCTTCCTCCAAGCAACAAGTGACATGGCAAATTTAAAACAGCCTCAGGTTAGGCCAGGAGAGGTTTAGATTGAATATTAGGAAACATTTCTTCATGCACAGTGTTGCTACGTGTTGGAACAGGCTACCCAGGGAAGTGGCTGAGTCACCACCCCTGGAGGTAGTTAATACATGTGTAGATGTGGCAGTTAAGGACATAGTTTGGTGGTGGACTTGGCAGTGCTACATTAATGGCTGAAATAGATCTTAAAAGTGTTTTCCAATCTTCAAGTGACATAATGACAATGATGTTATAATTCCACAAGTCAAAATGAAAGGATATTTAAAATCAAAGTTTGCAGAATCTGCTATTATAGCATTTTCTCATAAATAACTTGCATGACATTATTGACCCTAAATGAACTCAGTTCATCCAGTGTATTTCAGGGCTTTCCAGAAGTTATATAGCTCTTAATAATGTATGTTTCATGTGGAAACAGGGATTGTTATTCTGACATGGTAATAGGGAACTATAAGGTTTCTTCAAGATGCAAGAATGACCACCTCCCTGTTGTGGGGAAGGTGACCTGGATTACTGCCAATGCAATGAAAGGTTTCAAGTCACTTGAATGATCACTGACCAGACCTGAAATCCTAGAAGAGTAATAAAGAACAAAAGGCAATGAAATAGTCTTTATTTTACAATGGTTTTGCTTTCTGTATCAAACTTGCTCATTTGTTTCTCTAGCTCCTGAAGCATGGTATCACTTTTCATGTTTAAAACAAACCCCTATTACTCCAATTGAAATTAATAATTTTAAAAATACAACTTTTAATTATTAAACTATACACAAAGAATTCAACTTCTTGTACTTCAAATCCCCAGAACCTGTTTACAAAGAGGTTTTGAACATGGAGAATCATCAACTATATATGACTTATTAAAAAAAAAATCCACAGAAACAGCCATACTCCCAAGGCTCTTGCTACCTTTTCCCTGTTCTAAACATAAAAGAACAAAAGACCATTTATCTGACAATTAAATTTTTATTTTTACTGTAGGGAGTCATACCCAACCATAAAAACACTGCAAATTAAGGAAATCCAGTCTTCATTTTCAATATGAAATAGAAAATACAGGAAACACTTCAAGAAAATTAAATTGCAAACATAAATCTTGAAAACCATATCAGTAACATTATGACTGCAGGTGCTGCCCAGCTCATATCAATTTGGATCCTACTGAAGACCATGACATCATTTTTTATTTCTCTGTCTTCCCATTTTTTTCCCACTAAAAGCTTCTATTTTTTTTCAGGTTGAAGACATTTCAACCCTGCTTCCATTAACATTTTTTCCTCAGCTGGCTGTTAAATCAGTATTAATTTTAGTCTGTCAGAAGCAGGGAGGGGGGCAACTCACCCCTGGGCATCTGGCAGCAACCTCCTAACCCCTGACAAAAGCAGGGAGTGCTCTTAGCCTGCAGCACTGAGCACCTCCCCAAATCAGGCTTTTATGCTGCAAGCAAAAGTCTCTACCTATGAGAAGTGGCTATTTCTGAGGTTACCTAGACTACAAGAGCACTCTCAAATCACTGAACAACACACAGAAATGAGGCTGTCATACAGCTTAGCAGTGGCTGAACATCTTTGCCACAGCATCTGGAGATGTTCAGCATTACTTTAACTAAAACAGGGATCTAAAATGGAAACCTAGTGACTAGCTGCTAATATGAGTCCTGCTCATTAGCACAAGGGACCTTAAACCAAAGCCAATTAGAGCACCAGCAGAACAGAGGACACCCAAGCCTGCTCAATCAACTACTGAGTGGAGATGAACACACTGATGCAAAAGGGCTCATTTTAACAACAGATTTAACAGCTACAGTCAAAAGCTGTTCTTCGAGGCCCAGCTAATAAACACAAGACAGCTGAGGGGTTCAGGTGCTTGCTCAAGCTGCACTTAGGAGGAGGCCAGATTTTAACTGTTCATAACACACTGTAGAATCACTGAGGCTGCAAGTGGTGACCAAACTTACACTCTGCTTCTGTGTTTACATCAGAGGGGCTCTAACATACAGGTCATGTATGCCGTCTCACAAGACATCTAGCAAAGCCAACTTGGGTCCACAATGAGCAGTGCAAAGGTGTGAAGACACACAAAAGCAACTTACAGGAACATAAAAATAGTCTTCAGTATCCTGTAAAAATAAACTAACTTGAGAGGTAACCATTGCTTGTATGCCTTTAAGCATCTCAGTTTAGGTATTACCTACTTTTCTACAAAATATTAATGTGTCTGGTATTCATCAGGTAAAATGTAATACCTGCTGCAGGTGGATGATAATGAGAGTGATAGCAGCGTATCTTTAAAAATGATTATGAGCAGGAAGTACAAGCTGATAATTCTCTTGTGTTCTCATTTGTTTCTGAAGATACCTCACTGGACCACACCACGAGAGATGAAAAAGAAATTATTCAAACAAAAAAAGACAAAAAGATATAGCAGTGAAAAAGAAAGTTGAAGAAAAGCAATACCTAAATTAAAGGAGTCACTATGGTGGCAGGAATGGAAAGGGCTGACAGTTCAGAAAAGTACAAGAGACCTGTGATGGGGAGTAAGAGAGGTAAGTGCAGCCTCCGCTGTACACAGGGACCTAAGAACTGGATTCACTTCCTTCAGTAGAAAAAGAGCCCAGGAAATTCTCTCCTACAGCTCATCAAAGGTTAATTACACAAATACCCCCTGGAGGAATTCCACACATGCCCTGTGCTGTGCAGACCCAGTGAACCCTGTGGCCCCACTGGGAGAGATCTGACAGCCCTGACTGCTTCCCACCATCCTCACCACCCAAAGGGCTTTGTGGCATACAGCTCCAAGGTATTCCAGCCTTTCTTCCTGAGGTGTACTGCCTTGCCTTCACCTCACACTGAAACAAAAATTATCAATTGACACTTCTTGTGACAAAGGAAAACAACAAATTAACCCCAAAGGATCAGGGAGAAAAGCACTTTTCACTGTATACTGTTGCATTAATAACCTTACTAAGTGTAAGACACATTTGCACTGGGAACTGTTGAAAGAAGCAAAGCAACAGTGCTTTGTGACTCTTCGAACACACAGAATTGGCATAGAAGTTATGTAGAATATGGGACAACAAGAATAAGGGAGAGTATAAAAAGAGAATGGGCAGCACTAGTCCCAGCTTTGGCACACTCCACTCCATGGGTAAAACCTGCTGCTGTGCTGCACCTCTGCTTCTGTGCTGTGGGGGCTCAGTGCTTAGGGAACAAAAGATGGACACAGGGAGCTCACTGGTTGTGCTGAGAAGGACCATAGGAAAATGATCTGACACCTGCAAAATTTCTTTTGAATACTCCAGTTACCAGGAAGATCTCATATCAATAGAAATTATGCTTTCCTCCCCGCTGTGGTTTTCCTTAAAAGATTCTTAGAAATACATCCAAAGGGAAGAGATGCTTGGACAGCCAACTGCTACCTTCAGAAAGGCAGAGCCTGACACCCCCTCAGAAGTGGACTTTAGGAAGACAGCAAGACAAAACAGCCATTGCATTGATGAAACAGAACAACATCCCAGGGATCAGATTTGGCTTCCAACAAACACCTCCAGCTGAAGTCAGCACTCAGGCAGCAACAGTACAGAAAGGCTTTCCTGGCCCCTACTCCACCTCTGAATGATGGGTGATGTTTTTTGTCAAAATCACAAACTTGGATCCAAATTATTCTTGAAAAAGTCCAACTACACTTAGATACCCACATGAATAGAAGAATATACCCTGGAAAAGGTAATGGATGGTGAGTGTGGCTTTTTCTCAAGCACAGCACTTTCTCTCTGTTAAAAATCCAATTCACCTGGATTCACCATGATGATGTTTGGCTTTGGGTGGCTTATAGTCAGTACATACTTCTCAGTATATTAAGCATGAGTACATTGAACACCAACACCCACAATCATGCCTCAAGCTGGAATCAGAACTAAGCTGCAATTTAAAAAATTTGTCCACGCGAACAGAGGAGTATTTCTATACATGCCAAGCTGGATTCTGTATGTGCAGAAAACAACTTTAAAAACCACCAAATCACAGCTGCACATACAATCGCAGTACGGAATGGGGAAAAAGAACCGAAAATTCACATCTCCGATTTCCATGTACAGCTGGTCTCGGAGGATGGGGAGATGATTCCCCGCCTGGCCCAGCCCGAGGCCGCTGGCAGCGCCCCGGCGGCAGGGGGGGAGCGGCAGCGCCGCGCTGGGCCCGCTCCGGGCGCTAACAGGTGCTGCGCCCCGAGCTGCGCCGCCAACTTCTCCTTAGCAGCGCCAAGCCGCCTCATTTTTTCCCTTTTTATCCTCCTCCTCGCCCCTTCCCCAAGGTGCGGGACCACTCCGGTTTACACCCGCGCCGACGCAACTTTGGAGTAGAGGACCGGAGCGGAAAGCAAAGAAGGGGATGCGCGCCCCGCCGCCCCCGCCCGGGCTCCCGTCCCGTCCCGTCCCGTCCCGTCCCGTCCCACCGTCGCGCACCACCTGCGCGGCCATGAAGGAGAGGTCCATGGTGCTGCCGCTGGAGCTGCTGGCGGAGCTGGCGGAGGTGCTGAGGCTGCCGCTGCCGCTGCTGCTGCTGCCGGGGGCGGGCGGGGCGCGCTCCGCTCCGCCCGCCCGGGCACCTGTGGGGCGGCCCCGCCCCGGCACCGCTGCCCCTCACGGCGCCGCTTCCCCTCAGGGCCGGCAGCCCCTGCGGCGGGCGCGGTGACCCGGGACTGCCGCGGGGGGCCAGGCCGGGCCGGCAGGAACCCTTCGGCCCCCGGGGCTGTTTGCCTACGCGGAACGGCTCCGCGGCCCCGAGCCTGGGTGCGCGGGCACGGCCGGGGCGCCGCGGCGGCGGCGGAACCGCGGAGCCCTCGGGCTGGGTCCCGCCGGTCGGAGCCGGTGATGGGCGAGTGCTGCGGAGAGAAGCGATGGGTGGCTAAAGCAGCGGCTTGAACCAGATGCGGCTCGGCTCTCGCGGCGTGTGCGGATCCTCTGCATCACACGCCGCGCCTCTGGAGATGCACACCTGGCGGCCACACTGCTAATCCATCCAGCTAATGCTGCCCAGTGTGCCGAGCCATCAGCCCGGCTTTAAAATACTCGGTTCCTTCTCTCACCACGGCTGAAAAGAGATCCCGACGGCTCTTTGTTACACCTTTTCATGGCTGAGCTGTTGGAACTTTTATTTTCAGCTTCCCTCCTCCTCCTTGTTCCCAGAATTTACTGTTCAACAATACACAATAAACACATTTTGTCCCTTTTCTTATGCTTTTCCCTGTTCCTCACAGATACTGTTATCACTTTTAGCATGAGAAATTTAGTGTATTCCTTCACAGGCTGGTTCTGAAAAACCTTTGACACCAATACAAAAAGCAGGATAATTAAAATGTGCATCCTAATGCATTAAAAGCTGTTTGTGTGTGTGTGGGGGTTAACTCTTTACATGTTAGTTTCATCTCCTAGGCTCAAGTCTTTGACCATGTTTTTACTACTTCAGCCTATTGCCAGGGTCTGAACCAGGACTGATGAGAATACGAGAGTATACCACCATCAGAAGTACAAGGAAAATCAGCTTTGCACTGGGATTTTAAAGTCTGGAGGAAAAAACAGACAGTGCTTCACCATGTGTGCTGTGAGCTCTGTGCTGTTTTGCCTATTATTGCACTGCTGCAGCAGGAGGTGATGGAAAGAAAATCAGCTGTTTTAAATCAGTCCTTTACTTCAGTGACTATTAATGTGTCTGCCAAAAATGCTTTTATGTCAAGAGGCCCATTAAATAAACAAGTAAAATCCCAAAGAGGCAATGTAATTTTAAGATTTTTTAATTCAGTCGTGTAAATAATGGAATTGTCTCTTTGTAGAGTCTCTCAAAAGTTTTGAAAGGATATTGATGTGTGTGTCAGAAGCCATAAATTAACTTCAAAACAGTGTTAATTTTTCATCATCCAGATAAATTTTAAATGTGCTGGGTAAACATTTCCTCATAGCAAACGTGGCCTGGTCAGTCACAGCATCTGCAGCAACAGAGAATAATAAAATAGTTCATGAGAATAAAACCATAGTTAAAGTTTCAAAATCACAGTGACTTCTGCACTCATTTAATTCTATAGAGGATGAGAACTGTAGAGCAACAGAGCTGGAAAGAACCTCAGGAAATAATCTAGTCCATGCATCTGCATAAAATGCAACCGGTGACCCTCCAAACAGGGTGTTTCTCTTTACCCAATCTCTTCTTTAAAGCGTCTAATGAGGAATGCTCTATTCCCTACCAAGCAGTGCAGAGATTTATTCCACTGACCATTCTCTAAGGTTGTGTCAAACAGGGACATGAAGAAATTATTTTCTTTGGAAAAACAACTTGCCTTCTGAGAACTGCTCTTTGTCTTTTTCTTTTACCCATCTTATAGTATTTTGACCTTTCCCTCAAAGTGCTTAAGGAGGATTTCTAATGGTACCAAGATTTGCCAGTCAGGTTTCCAAATATTTTATTGTGATGTTCAGCAAGTTTAAGAAATTAACACTAATTCATTGTTCTTAAGCCTGACAAAGGAAAAAAAAATATCACTGTTCAGTTTTCACTTTTGATTTTCCTCTGGTTTACTGCCGTGTTTGTGAAATAGCATGGTTTGTACTGTTTAAGATGCAAATAATTTCTGAGGAACACCAAATTATTTGTGTTTCTAGAATCATAAACCATTAAGGTTCAAAAGACCTCTAAGAACATCAGCTCCAATTGTTAACCTGACATTGCCCTGTTCACCACTAAATCATGTCTCCTATTGCCACATCCAGATGCCTTTTGATTCCAGGGATGGTGATTTCACCAGTTCCCTGGGCAGACTGTTCCACTGCCTGACCACCCTTTCAGTGAAAAAAATTTTCCTAATATGCAATCAAAACCTCTGTATTGCAGCATGAGGCCATTTCCTCTTGTCTTGTTACTTGGGAGAAGAGACTGACCACCCTCAGCCCATTAAAACCTCCTTTCAGGCAGTTGTAGAGTACAATGAGGTCCTCCCTGAGCCTCCTTTTCTCCAGGAAAACAAGCCCAGCTCCCTCAGCTGCTCCTCATTAGGAGCTCCAGACCCTTCTCCAGCTCTGTGGCCCTTCTCCAGACTCACTCCACTGAATTTGAAGTGTGGCCTCACCAGTGCTGGGTACAGGGGGACAATCCCTGCCCTGGTCCTGCTGGCCACACTATTGCTGACACAGGCCAGGATGCCATTGGCCTTCTTGGCCACCTGGGCACTGCTGGCTCATGTTCAGCAGCTGTTGACCAGCACCCCAGGCCCTTTTCCACTGTGCAGTTTCGCAGACACTCTGTCCCCAGCCTAGCAGGAGGTTGTTTGTGGCCCAAGGGCAGGACCCAGCACTTGGTCGTACTGAACCTCATACAATTGGCCTCAGCCCATCAATCCAGCCTGCCCAGACCCATCTGAAGAATTTTACCATCCGCCAGTAGATCCCACCTGGCTTGGTGTCATCTGCAAACTGACTGAGGATGCCATCAACCCCTTCATCAGATCATCAATAAAGATTGTTAACAGGACTGGCCCCAACACTGAGCCCTGGGGAACATCACTGGTGACCAGCCACCAGCTGGATGTAACTCCATTTGCCCCCACTCTTCAAGCCTTTAACTATAATACGACAAAGTACAAAGCTTTGTTTCTTCATCTTCCCCCAAAATAGATTTTTGGCGGATATAAATTTGTGTGGATATAAATTTTGCATATAAATTGCTTTATCATAGCTCTGTAAGTTCTTCTGTAAAACAAATGTTTGGAATGTGCTTCTGTCTTTCAGTAATGATAATGCAGATCTTGAATGAGATCTGCCAGCTGTCCTGCCCACCTTGTGTCCAGTTTTATCATCAAAATATCTAGACCACTTAAAAAGATTATGTCACAATTTGCTATTTCTGTGGACAGACATTGTAGCACCCAGCTAAAAATGCAGACATGATTGTATAACATTATTCTTAAAAACAAGCAAAGATGCTCTTTAATTAGATTTGAAGCTGTTTGCTAAAAAGACCACATTTTTCAGTACAGTGGAACACAACTCAATTAGAGAATAGTTTGGTTTGTCAGTTTTCCTGGGGCATAGTAGGAAATCCTTTCTTGCACTGCATGTGCACAGAAGCTCTGCCTTTGCTTCACAAAACAGACCTAACAAAATATGACAATTGAGTCTTGCTGCCAAAAAGGATTTTAAATGGGTTTGTATCTCTACAGCCCCACTTACCATATGTTGTATTTAGATACCCTAGGCAATGCAGTACCAATTTTTAGCTTTGCATCCTGATATCACATTTAAATCTTTCATCTATGCAAAGGGACGCTAAGTTCCCATTTTAAGGAGAGAAGGTAATATTGGCTTCTTGCTGCATTTTAATATACTTTTAAGCTATTTCCTCTGAGTCCCATTTTAAACCTACTGTTGCCTCATTGCAGCAGGTTGCAATCACACAAGGTAATTAATTCCCTTAATGAAGAATCAGCCACAGTGACATGTGGCATCCATTCTTAAGACAGGTTCATTCTCTCTGATGGACTCTTGCTGCTCAGTGTATCACAAAGGAGACAAAGGATGCTGAATTTTGCACATGAGGTCCGGCTGGACTGAATCACCAAAAGGGAATTCACTCAGAGCCAGCCTTCCTTCCTTCCTTCCTTCCTTCCTTCCTTCCTTCCTTCCTTCCTTCCTTCGATTTTTGTTTGTATTTGGTCTTTCAACAGAAAACATTGACACCAGCAAATTAACACAGTACAGCCCTTAAATTTCAAGCAGCCAATTTCACTTCATGGAATGCAAATGCCCCATCTTGCTTCCCCTGGGCAGTACTGGGACAGTTACTCAGGGACTCACTGTCAAACTGGGAATGGAGGTGGTTTGAACTGCCCATTAATAACATGTAAAATCAGTGTGCTTACATACTCCTTTACAAAGCACAAGTGCTTGAGTCCATATTGCAAACTGATGCCTCCTCCTGCTCCAGGTCCAGCATCCCCTCCTGCGTGAGCATAGCCACATCTTTTCTTCCACAAAGGTGGGCAAGTACGATTCCTCTTTAGAATATATTGGAAGGGGCTCACTGTTTAAGGGGATAAACCCAGAAGAGGGAAACTTTAGTTCTATGACTTAGATGCCAACCAATCCCAAGATGAACCAAGCAGGTCCTGGTTTCCTGGGTGCATATCCTCTACAAAAGTCTGGCATTGGGAAGCAGATCTGCTCCTCAAACCACTTTGGATGTCTCTGTAGGAGGACATGTAAGTCACTGCAGAAGAGAGAAAGAACTTGGAGGACTCTGCCTGTACCTGTTGAGGACTCCCCATGTCTGGAGACACGAGGCTTGACTCCCTGTTTCTCAGAAGACTGGTTTATTATCTTATGATATATATTATACTAAAATACTACATAAAAACTATACTAAAAGAACAGAGAGAAAAGATCATCAGAAGGCTTGAAAGAACAAGAATAGAATGCACAACAAAATCGTGTGACTCTCAGAGTCCGATGCAGCTGCATCTGTGGTTGGCTCTTAATTAGAAACAACTAACATGCACCAATCACAGATGCACCTGTTGCATTCCCCAGCAGCA